ACAAACCATATAAAACAATTTATATGATCATGTATTATATAGCCCTTGATAATGTAAAATGAAGCAGGAACATATACTGTCATGTACAACTTAAACGATATAATCAAACACAAGGAACAATATAAAAGTGGGCAGGACAATAATTTCAAAGTTCAAGGGTTTGTAATCAGTGATCTGAAGTGTACGGTTAGCCATAATTTCCTTTCAATTGCATGAACGATAAATAATTCACGTGGCCAAAGAAAATTTCTGTAAATATCTATTGGAATATCACTTCACTTGTAACGCCCCATTTATAAAACAAGAGGGCCATGATGGCCCTGAGGTCGCTCACCTGTATATGGCCCCCCCCCCCCACCCGGACCAATTTTTACCCAAGGCTTTATTTGTTTATTTAAACAGACTTAGTAGACACCCATAAGAAAATGTTTCATGCTAAACATCTAAGTTCTTGCTCATTGGGTTTTTAAAAGAAGATTTTTAAAGTTTTTACTATACACATATAGTTAAAAACAATGACACCCCTGGGGCAGGGCCAGTTTTGACCCCCGGGCCTTTATTTGAACAAACTTTGTAGATATTTACTTAAAGATGTTTCATGCTTTATTATCTAAACTCTAGCTTTTTGGGTTTTTTCAAAGAAGATTTTTAAGTTTTTGCTATACACAGATAAGGAAAATCAATGACCCCCCCCCCCCGGGGCGGGGCCAGTTTTGACCCCAGGGCTTTTATTTGAACATACTTGGTAGACACCCATTAGAACATCTTTCATGCTAAATATCTTAGCTCTAGCTTATTGAGTTCTTTAAAAGAAGATTTTTTAAGTTTTTACTACATGCATATAGGGATAATCATTGACCCCCTGGGGCTGGGCCAATTTTGACCCCAGGGCTTTTATTTGAACAAACTTGGTAGACACTCACTAGAAGATGTTTCATGCTAAATATCTTAGCTCTAGCTCTTTGGGTTCTTTAAAAGAAGATTTTTTAAGTTTTTACTATATGCATATAGGGAAAATCAATGACCCCCTGGGGCGGGGCCAATTTTGACCCCAGGGTTTTTAATTTGAACAAACTTGGTAGACACTCACTAGAAGATGTTTCATGCTTAATATCTTACCTCTAGCTCTTTGGGTTCTTTAAAAGAAGATTTTTTAAGTTTTTACTATATGCATATAGGGAAAATCAATGACCCCCTGGGGCAGGGCCAATTTTGACCCCAGGGCTTTTATTTGAACAAACTTGGTAGACATTCACTACAAGATGTTTCATGCTTAATATCTAAGCTCTAGCTCTTACGGTTCTTTAAAAGAAGATTTTTAAGTTTTTACTATATGCATATAGGGAAAATCAATGACCCCCCGGGGCGGGGCCAATTTTCACCCCAGGGCTTTTATTTGAACAAACTTGGTAGACACTCACTAGAAGATGTTTCATGCCAAATATCTTAGCTCTAGCTTTTACGGTTCTTTAAAAGAAGATTTTTTAAGTTTTTACTATATGCATATAGGGAAAATCAATGACCCCCTGGGGCGGGGCCAATTTTGACCCCAGGGCTTTTATTTGAACAAACTTGGTAGACACTCACTAGAAGATATTTCATGCCAAATATCTAAGCTCTAGCTCTTAGGGTTGTTTAAAAGAAGATATTTAAAGATTTTTCTTTCGGTTGCCATGGCAACCAGAGTTCTACATGGAATTAAATTCTTTGAACAATTTTTAAAGGTGACCACCAAAGGAACATTCCTGTGAAGTTTGGATGAAATTGGCTCAGTGGTTTATGAGGAGATGTCATTTAAAGCAAAAGTTTACGGACGGACGACGGACGGACGACGGACGGACGGACGCCGGACGAAAAGCGATCACAAAAGCTCACCCTGTCACTTTGTGACAGGTGAGCTAAAAAGTAGGGAAGTCTTTTCATATTTTAGCCAGATTCATATTTTATTCTTAATATTTTCCAATATCAACTGTTGGTCAATCAACATTATAACAGTCAATGTTTTGAAATACATAGTCAATTTAACTCAACTTGACAATGAAAATATGAGCAAAATATCACTTAAAGTATAACAGAAATGTGTTCATACTCCAGTTGAACCAACATGAATATAATTTGAAAATAATTTTCCGGTGCAGTAAAATTTTGTTCACTGTTTCTTTTTTTCCTCCATTTAAGGTAGAGTAATACAAATTCAGACCAGAAGAATTTGTCTGGATTTTAAGGGCACATAATGCCTCAGAAATCCATATGTATATAATACTTTAGAAATGTCACATGAGTTTGTTATACTGCTTAGTATAATCAAGTAAATACTTGCACAACATTTTTTCATCTTCACTTATGCTGTGTTTATTTAAGTGAAATTTAAAGATTGCTTATATAGTGAAAATCATAATCACATGAAATAACCCCAGTTTATGGTAGCGTGCTCTGTAACTAAAAAAAACAAGCAACAAAGAAAATCAATGTGAAAATTGTTTGTTTTTTTTTTTTGCTCATTATAAATTCAATGTATGATATATTATTTTATCAAATGACGATGAATAATTCTTTTCAAGAAGGTAAAATCGAATGACCATAACCCATGGTCCTACAATACATTATTGTTTAGTATGCTAAAGGCACATTATGCCTAAGAAATGAATAAAATTTTACTTGTGTAGAAAGGGAAAAACATGAATTTTCTATGTTCGAATGATAGTTTAGAAAATCTTAAGATAACTGTCACTTTGACTCCCAAACAAAAAACTAAATCACTTTTATTGAACATATATTGCCAAAAATCAACAGAAGAAAAATCTGGTTCAAGTAATTGGCCAATGAGTAACTGTTTGGAAACTATAAAGATACACACAAAAAATGTGTTTGAGAAATAAAATAAAATAAAATAAAAAATAAAATAGATACATTTGCGGGGCATAATGGGCCTTTAACAGTAATTAATGCTTACAATACATAATATATATATATACTTTTACATCAATGCACTACATAGTACACTGTAAATCATTAAATGAGCCGCGTCACGACAAAACCAACATAATGGGTTTGCGAACAGCATGGATCCTGATCAGACTGCGCGGATGCGCAGGCTGGTCTGGATCCATGCTGTTCGCAAACGCACTATGTTGGTTTTTTCATGACACGGCTCACTACAACTACATTTTCTTGAATAATATGTTTAAACTTAAATAAGTATACAGATTTTTGTCTCACACAACTTCTTAACAACAAAATTTACACCAGAGATAAATTTTAAAGTAAAGTTTAATTACACAATTGTGTACCACATTTTGGGTTTGAACATAATTTGTACAACATATGAAAGTAAAAGTTGTTAAAAAAATAAAGAAAAGAAAATAGAATGCAATAAATTCAAAATCAAAAAATGAAATGGTTCATTAAAAATAGCACTCCTTTGTATTTATAAGCACTTTTAGATATTCGTAGTCTACATGCAGAAACAAATGCATGACCTTATACATTTTTTTTTGGATTAAATGTATTCTATACATGCATAAAATTCAGTATTGACCCTAACCCTCAGGGATAGTCCCAGATATCAAGGATTGTCCCGTAAATTCAGGACGGTCCCAGAAATCAAGAATTGTCCCAGAAATCAGGTTTCTAAAACAAAAGTGTCAAAATATAGATATAATATCAAAATAATATTGACATGATTCTGTATACTTATATCAAGAGATTTAAAGAAGGAAAGAGTTTTATTTGAAAATGAATACATCTTAGAATTTCTTTCTTTCCTATGTTCTGTAGATCAACATAAAAGTTAATTCTGAATAAAAGAGAAAAAAGACTGCAAATGATTGAGATTCTAGAATACATTGTAGTATTCCTATGCTTGTAAGTCATTCACTGAATTGTCACACATTATATAACACATACTTACATGTTGTTTCATTTGGATTTATAACAAACAATTTATTAGCAGAATTAAAAAAAAATATCTAGCAATTTTGCCAGGTAAATTCTCTATGTTTTGCTTTAAAGTAGATGATTAAAAATCCTTTGAGAAATTAGCTTAGTAATGAATCATTTGATTAAAATATAGAACGATTCCTTGTGAATAATTTTTCATCTATTTTGTTAAGGTTTAGATTTCAATGGTTGTGCACCACTTCAAACAGGAGCTGATACATGGGTAGAGTCAAAGGCCATCGTCAACTAGCAGTATAGTTTCCTTACATGATTAACTTAATGTGGGTATTGAGCAAGTGGCAGTGGGTCACTGATTTTCTCATCAGTAACCTAATAATCACTAAGCAACAAATTCCTCGAAAGAATATATGGAACATACAAGTAAATAGTTTATAATAAATTAAAATTCAAGCGCCATACTTAAGAGTAAGGTACACAAATATAAGCAAGCAATCTCTTTGCAGTGAAATTGACTATAGTGAAAACGTGAATTATTGATATTGATGTATGGTAATGCAAGGTTTAAAGTGGCACAGCTCCAGAATTATGTTTATGAAAATTAAGAATGTATCTCAAGTAGCAAAAATACTGTCATGTCAAAAAGTAAAAGAATGCCTGGCCACAGATGCCCCAAGCATGTAAGAGATTTTGAGTTAAAAACAGAAAATTCAGTCATATAACATATATGCATTGTGGCTTAAAGTGGATTGGTCCACAATGGGTATGATCTTCAAGTGTTGATAAAAACCATAGAAATGTATCAATTGGATAATCTTATTAAATATTCCTAAAAAAAAATGTTGACAAGATTAGTGTTCAATGTGATTTAGTATTAACACATAATGATGAATAATATTTTGTTCTAGATCTGCTACATATAAATATGCATCCCACACTAACAAACAACATTCAATATAAAGCTTTTCTGGGGTGTTTTTTTTGTCACAAATGATACTAAGTAAATGCAATCAACTTAATTATCGACATTTTCACAGCTATCAAATTATTGACCAATTCACTTTAAATATGACATTTTTAAATTTTGTTGTTGTTTTTCATAATGTTTTTGTTGTTGTTTTTTTATCATCTAGAAACATGCTGCTTTAAACCTGACATTGACTTTACAAATTCAAAATCAAAGGTGCAGAAAAGTTCAATTAAGCCTTCAGTGTAGAGTTTTCCAAAATTCTTAAAATAAAACCAATACTGTTAATCAATGATATACAGCAAATCTGCATCAAATGACACTGAATGCCCAGAAAAAGAAAGATAAATCAAGGACATTATATATGATATTTATATATGACACAGATATAAGCGTTTGATACATAAATACACTTATGTTACCGAATATATATATATGTATGATGAAAACAAAATAATGTTAAGTATGAAACAAAACAAAAAATGATCTTTTTACAACATCTTTACATACAGCTCTATTTAATTCCTTTTAAATAAATGTCAGATAAAATAAAATGTACATATATCAATATATCTTTAGGTCGAAATAATGAACTTAAAAGAAAATCCGCAAAAAACCAAGGTATTTTGATGCAAAAACTCCAACAAATAATTAAAAACCTTCACTAGCATGTACTACGGTTGTCCGGAAAGTTTGTAGACACCTGGTTTAATACAAGTATTTCACATCAGAATTATATGAAACTATAGCTGTAAAATATATGTACTAAATGAAATAGATTTTCACTCAACTGTCTTAAATATACCTGGCGATCAAAACAGAGAGTCCAGTCTTGAACAACTGAGAATTTCGCGATTAAAAAAACAACACAGTAATGTTTCATATGAGCAGTGCATTTGCCTTGTTAAACATAAGCTGCAGGAATAACAGTCTTGCAAATAATACTGCTAGTTCTTAATTTACATGTTTTCAGTTTACATGTTTATATTTAAGTATACAAGGTTTTCAGTTTACCATTTTTAGTTTTCAATTCATTGTGAAAGCTACATGTATAAGCCTAAAGAAACACACTTGAATACGTTCCTGAAATCAAACCATACCAAGCAATGAGTGTTATGTTTCTTCCTCAAGGAAGCGACAGCTTGTCCCTAACGGAGTTTGAACCCTCACAGCCAGTTATCCTTAGATTACTAATTAAGCGCATCAAGTTGAGTGCCTGGAACTGACAAATTAACAGTACTGGTAAACTAGGAAACATGATCTTCACACAAGCTGGGCTTTGAGTCTTTATCCCTGGTTTTCATTCCAGTTTCAACTGCTTGAGAGCACGTCAACCAAAAGTAAAAATCACAATTTAAGTAAAAACCACACTTGAGCCTGTTTCTGGGAATAAATCATTACTAGTAACAAATAAGGAAAATTTTGTTTGTTCCAGTTTTTACACTGATTTAGAGTATTTTGCAATGAGGAAGTAAGTTAAAAACAATCAAAAGATTTTGAACATATAACTTAAAGACATTAACAGTACAATTAAACCTACAAAATCTGTATGTAATTTCTTTATCATCTAACAGCTTATTTTATTCAGAATATTCCATTCACAAAAATTCTTCTTTCACAATGAAAAATTAAATTCTTTGATTTGGCCTATAAAAAAACAATAATTTGACTTCCACTCTTATGATTAATTGAATTTTTATCCACAAGATAATGAATTTTTGGCAGTATTTTTACATGTCATTCCATCAAAATTTCTTAACAATTTCATCTAAATAACGATTTTAAAACAATTTAAGACATGAGTTCAAATAAATTATTAATAACTCTTTACACCTACAATATCACCATACAGTGGCAGCAACAAATAAACAAAGATTATGCAGACAGACAACTCCGTAAAAACTCTTGAATTGTTTCCCTTGCATCCATATTTCATCAGTTTGTTTTGTTTTTTTTCTACCTTAACACACAAGTTTTATCATCATGTTTTGCAACCGAATAATATAAAATGCATATCACATCAATTTTTCTTCATTGAAAAAAAAAAAGAAAATCCAGGAAAAAAAATCATCTAGGCGTTTTCCAGACGTTACGTTTCTTCCGTCTGCTTTAATTCTTTAATTTGCTTTATTAAGTAGGCTTTTTCATCGTTAAACTGTTCATCATCGGACCGGTCCGTATGAAACTTGGTGAGGAAGTCCACCAGTTTATCCTTGTTCCGTAGTAAAATGTCGAGAATTGGCTTTGGTTTGTTAGGGTTTGCGACGAATACCTATAAATAGAAAAAATAGACACTTGAAAGTTATATTTTGCTCAAATTAGATATTTGAAAAAAAAAATGATTATAACTGTACAGCCTCTTCTGAAATGTAAAAGAAACATCTTTTGAATACGTACAGAGAAAATATGTAATGTTTTAAACACTACACACTACAGGTAATCACAATATGATTACATAGTGGCATTAAAAAAATCAACTGGCAGTTTTCATGAGAATAGACCAAATTAACATAAGTAATAGGGGATGCAGCTTCTCAAACATAGTTTATACATTCACCTATTCAAATTAATCCATATTCAGGAAGAATTTACTAGATTTCACTAAATTCCGGCAATAACAGTATTTTACCCAAAGATGAGCATAGAATATCTTAAATCCTAATCATGCTAAATATCTTAAAATGTATAAAACTATAAGCAATAATTATGTGCCATTCGCTTTTTTTAAAAAAAAAAAAAATATTTTTTTTGAAAGTGCTTAAAAATATAAAGATCATTCAATCATTTAACTTGATCAACCTCAAATATTAAATGGGAAACCTTTCATGACAGAAACCATCAACCTTCAATGACCTTGCTGGTTGAGTAAAATTAACTTTTAGACTTTAATACTAGATCAAATGAACACTGGTCCCACATGAAAGTGAGGCAAAATATTTATCATCATATGTTTGAATAAACACTGATCCTGGATAAAAGCGAGGCAAAAATTTATCATGACATATTCTATGCCTTCAATATCTAATTATAATACAATTAAATTTTGTATAAGTGCTTCAATATCTTACTTTAAAGACATGGAAGGCTTCAAACTGAATATTCCTGCTCTTCTCTCGTAACATATTCATCATCATCTTCAAGTTGTCCGGGTTACTGATATATCGTGTCATTATAGTAAAGTTGTGACGATCTAACAACAGCTCACCCAGCAACTATAATAATTATATACAAAAACATTAAATTAGCTAATCAACATGAATATTACTTTAGAACTGTTAACACAAATGGCAATTGGTTTGATTGGTTGTTTTTATGCTGATTTTAACACATTTCTGGTCATACCTCAATGGTCGTTCCACCTGTCCAGCTGCAGTGACTTTTCATCTTATATAACAGATGCCTATAAATGGTCTCTTCCCAATCAAAATTTTCTTCAAAATCATGCAGTTTTCCCAAATATCTGATTTTACACCAGCTTTTTTACTTCCCAAATTAGCAATTTTAGCAATATTTTTTCCCAAAATCAAAAGACTAAGGCCTCTTCCCATTCAAGGCAGAAAACCACTGAGGCCTCTATGAATATCTAAATGGTTAATTACCAATCTCTGCAAGTATTTGACTTCTAACCCCACATGACTTGTGATTCATCGCTGCAAGGTAAATGACCATAAGCCTCAATGTCTCGGGTCAATTGTCATAGAAAAATTTTGCCTTGCAAGTTGCAATAAAGAACTTCCTCACATGCACAGGGTGTTCACTAGCCATGATATCCTGAGAGTCATTTTGACGTAGTTTTACCGACTACAAGGCCAAATCCCTATGATTTTAACAAAATTTGACCCTCCAGTTAAAATTCTGAGGGTCAAATCACGCCTTTTAGAAATTTGAAGGGTCAAAGAGTCATTTCAAGGGTAAAACGGACACCCTGCATGGACTAGTATAAACTTGCTATACACCAAGTTTGATTACAATATCTCATTCCTAACTCTAGTTATTGTCCGGAGACCATCTTTCTATTTTTAGTAATGGTGACCTTGACCCCAGGGGTCCAAATGCAATACCAAAAGGGGTCTTCATATAAGGTTGCTATATACCAAGTTTGATTACAATACCTCATTCCAAACTCCAGTTATCATCTGGAAACCATTATGTGGACGGACCGACCGGCCAACAAGCCGACTCCTATATACCCCTAAAATTCATTTGTTGGGGTATAATAAGTAGGAACATATGAAAAAAGACCACCAAAGTGATGTATACACTCCACTTTTTAAGTGGGGCACAAAAATCTATCTTTTATCAATATCCCCTTTAAAAGTTAAACATGAGTGCAAGGATTAATATTGACTTTAATATGAACGTTTGTGTCAAAGGGAGAAAATCACAAACTATATAAGAAAAAAATCTGAACTTCCATTACCTCCCTTTAATCTAAAAAGGTATATTAGAATATGTAAAAATCTCAGTTTCTCTATCAGAAATTTCTAATATCACATGATATTGGTGTTTAGTGTTTATGTTCTATAAAACCAGAAAATTGCATTCTTCAGAACCAAAGATTGTGTTCTTCAGAACCAAAGATTTTGTTCTTCAGCAAAAATAAAAACATCAGAAAACATGAAAACCCTGAATTTAGCAATATTTCAATTCATTTTGTATAGAAAACAGAGAGCTTTCAAGACTAAAATCTGAAAACTTGCACCCATGTATTTCGTCATCAAAACAAATCCCATCACAATTTCTCAACAGGGCACAGTCAGGGACAAATGGAAAGTCAAAACTTGGCTTATTTCTCCAGCAATCTCTGCTATTTTCTCCTTCCTTCCCCCTGTCTTTTTTCCACAAGTTGATTGAACTGGGTTACAACTGACTGGGGCATTACTTCTTGACCTGTCGGAACCAAAAGCGATCATTCTTTGTCACCAGTATAGAGCCAGGCCAGCCTGCATATCCGTGCAGTCTGACCGGGTTTTAAACTATTGGCAGCTTAATTTTTGTATTCTGATACTGAAATCCCTTTAACTTTGAACAGACGGCTTCAAATTCAAAGCTGGACAGATCCATTACAGAAAAATAGGAGGAAAATATAGCAGGTTCACTATTAAATTCCGAATTTTAAGAATATTATACAAACTATGGGTACCTTTAAAGCTTGCCTCCTTGTCACATAATTGTCAGAGACCAATAAACTCTGGTAAGGTATGAACACTTTGTCATAGTTTGCTTCTAGGAAATTAGCAGCTAGGATCTTGTGTTTTGTTAACAACTCCTGTAATTTAAAAGATTATTGATCAAAACAATATCTTGTGTTTTGTTAACTCCTGTAATTTCAATAAAAAAAAAGTCGAGCTAAAAATAATTCCTTTTAAAGGAACTCCACTCAGGTTTTTTTTTTAAAAATAGACTGGAAATATTTTTTTCAAGACTTGGGTATCATTTGATTTAGGTCTGGACTTATAACTTGTGTGTGAAATTTCAGATCAATCCCTAAATCTGTTTTTCCAGAAAAATAATTTTAATTGCGCAAAATGACCACAAACTATTTTAACTTATACTGGGCTATGTATTTTAAACAAGAGCTGTCAGTAGGAGACAATGCTCGACTATTCTTAGTGCTTGATAATAAAAGAGTCTTGATAATTTTCTGTGTGAATAACAAAAGGACAAAGTTTTTTCTTTAAATCCATGTTACAGTTATAGGCCTTGGAGAGAGTCCTATTATGCTCTCAAAGAAAAGTATAAAATTTCAATTTGTTTCAAAAGAATATGAAAATATCTGAGGTGGTATGCAAACCTAAATGTAAATTCTAACTCGAAAAAGGGGCATAATTCTGTTAAAATGCTTAATACAGTTACCTCCTCCTGTCTACAGGTTGGGGTCATGAAGGTGAACAAGTGTGCAAAGTTTCAAAGCCATATGTCATTGGACTTTGAACATATTTTAGGTATTACAAAAATTTTAACGTAAATTCGAAAAAGGGGCATAATTCTGTCAAAATGCTTGTTACAGTTACCTCCTCCTGTCTACATGTTGGGAAAGCCATATGTCAATGGACTTTGAAAATATTTGAGGTATTTCAAAAACTTTAACATAAGTGGTTACGAGGACCCCGAGTGGACGCCGATGCCGACACCAACGCTCGGGTGACTACAATAGCTCTCCTTATTCTTATCGAATAGTCGAGCTAAACATTATTATCAATTTAATTCTAAGTATATTTCTATATCAACTTCTACAGATCTTTATCTATGTAATTATTTTAAATTTTTTGTTTGTTTTTTTAACTTATTGTTTTGTTTTGTACCTTTAACTTCAGTGGAGTTCCTTTAATATTTAAATTATAAGGCTATGTTTTGTGAATTCAAGACTAAACAAAACATGTCTGTATTAGAAAAGACCCTCAATCATTGTGAATATATATATAATCACAGAAAGATTAACTTGTTTGCAACATCAGCATAAAAACACTTCACTGTCTGCACTGGTATTACCTGGAGAACTAAGCAGCCAAATTAGAGAGTTTAGTTTCTGAGCCAGTACAAGTTCAGTGTAGATTTTAGACCCAACCCATGGCTTTTTTTACTTTCCTACACAATTTTTGTTTTTTTGCGTGCCCATGCAATAAAATCATGTCCTTTGCAGTTATGTACATAAAATCAACATTCTGACAGTGATGTTTAAAATTCCTAAGTTTTATGTAACAGTGTTTGTAATTGAGCTTAAAAATTGTTATTTAAGGTTTGGTTCATAAATCTGTATTTGCTGTTTTTAAAGTCACTGAGAGTTGATATGTCATATTGCACATGCACTCATTCACTCGCCCATTATGTAAAAATAATTTTTTCAGGTAGCAAGGCAGCCGAGTGGATAATGACCTAATCTTGCCACCATGGCCTTGATATACCCTAGATTTTGTTACAATATATAGTAACATAGGTATTAATTTCTTTTATCACATAAACTGTGGCGCAAGAGTGTAATAAATAGAAGATATTGAATGAGTGTAGGTTTTATACTAAATTTATTGAACGAGTTGAATAAAATCATATTATGCGAGCTTCTGGCAAGCATAATATTGTTTTATTCAACAAATTCAATAAATTTAGTATTGAATCTACACGAATATAATATTCTATTTATCACATATATAAAACAAGAACGGTAAACTGTTATCAAGAGTCATTTTCCTTTGACGCGCCTATAGTGTAACGCTAAAATTAGCACGCTTTAACGCTATGTTTATAGCGCAAATGACGTGACGTCAAAGTGTTATTACACTAGTGTAATATTGTCTAGTGTAATATCGTTTTTATAAAATGGCTTTATTACACTCCTGCGCCTCAGTTTATGTGATAAAGCCATTTAATATAAACGATGTTACACTAGTGTAATAACGCTTTGATGTGACGTCATTTGTGCTATATATAAACATAGCCTTAAAGCCCACTAATGTGAGTGTTACACTATAGGTGCCTCAATGAGTAATGACTCTTTTTAACTGTAAACTGTTCTCTTTTTGAATATGTGATAAATAAATATTATATTTGTGTCAATTCAATACTAAATTTAATGAGCTCGTTGAATAAAACAATATTATGCTCGCCAGAGGCTCGCATTATATGACTTTATTCAACTCATTCAATAAATTTAGTATTAAACCTAAACTCATTCAATATCCTCTATATATGGAGGTGTGCAGTTTCATAAATACTTTACCATACCTTGAACGTAGAGAATGCATCAGAAGCCACATCAAATGTCGACACCTCAACATATGTGAAGAACATGAAAAACTGGTCAGAGTACAACATTGTCTTTGCCAACTGTTCATATCTACAACACTCCCGCAACATCATACCACAATTCAATGCTATTTCTTGACTCTCGTACCTAAATAAGTGCAAAGTGATCAATGATATAATACACACAAATGAATAAATATCTAACCATTTCTCTCTAACCATATTGGCCTTTATAAAGTTGAAACGCTACATATCTAAACCAAATATCTTAAATTGACTTATAATCTGGGCAAAACCATTCATCATTTTAAGTCTGACCTGGATGCATGGATTAATTAAGTTGCTGCTAGAAGGCTTAGGGGTTAATACATTTTCTAGCTGTATGCATTTAACACTCCTTCATATTACTCCATATCTATAACTTTTGAAATAAAAATGTGTGATACTCATAAAATAAGACGATGAAGTAGTGATTGTGACATCCAAGCAAGACCCCCACCACCATTCTCTCAATTCAGAACAGCCACTGCATTATATTATTAAGCAGCAAGGGAGTATAGCCTGGACAGACAAAGCTGTTTTGATTCAATACTAGTGACAAAAGCCTTCCAATTTTGCAATTTGCATTCAAAAAGTAACTGACTGTGTTGCTGATTTTTATATGTATAATTTACTGCTCATGACTTTTTTTCACATATATTCTTAGGAAAGTGGCCTTATGAAATAATAAATATGTTTGATATATGACATTTGTTATATAAAAACAGTGACTTAAACATAAGGGCAAAACGCATGAATAAAACGCAACCTCCACTGTGGTGTAGTGGACCGGCAATCCAGAGACCCGTGGTTTGAGTCGCGTCTGCAGTGTGGCAATTTTTTTGTTTGACATATAAACATATTTAAAACATTTGTGGGTCAAAGAATACACTTTACCCTTTCATTAAGTCTAATAGAATTTCCTTTCTGGGTCCGAGATGATCAACTGTAGGTGCTCTAGTACCGATCTGGCGTCGCAACATATTGTTGAAAATCTGGGCAACATCTTTCCTACCCTGAAACATATTCATATCATTTATTTATTTTTTACATTCCTAAATATCTTAAATTTTCAATCTGACCAAATACCATTAATTATTTTGGGAAATTTCAATACAAATAACAGCACAGAAAATAATCAGTACAAAGTAAGCAAAACTAATTAATCATAGTAAAATTTATGTTTTATTTAAATTATGTGATGAAACTGCTTTAATAATTATGCTCATTTTTTCCCTACGGTATATATTTAAAGTAATTGACTACTACAATGGTTATTGACCAAATAATTGATAATCTAAAATGTTATTGATTATACACATGAACTACTAGACTGTGAAATTGAAAACAATTATGGCAAAATCTATAATTATTATGACTTTCACCTGTACACCTACCATTAACACTTGGACTGGCAAATGTAACTTTAGCAAAATTAACTAGAACTGCCACTGTCATGGCATGAATACCCCCGCATACCACTTTGTCAGAATCAACAGTGGCCATTTAGAGCTCAAGGACAACCTCCCTGCCAAATCTGAGGTTACTAAGCCAGTGCACTGCTAAGTTATGTATTCTACATGATTCAAATGTGAAAATGTCAAAAATCAATACACTTCGGACAGGCATTCTTAAGCATTTGTGCAGACAAGCTTATTTTAGTAAAAACCCTGTGACCTTGACTTTTGACATTATAAGTCACCTTAAAATCAAAAGGGGTCATCTACTAGTCATAAATAACCTCAATACTAAATATGAAGACTGTTGACCAAAGCATTCTTAAGCAATGGAGGGGACAAGCTTTTTAAGTCAAGGCCCCTGTGACCTTGACCTTTGACCCAGTGACTTCAAAATCAATAGGGGTCACCTAATTGTCATGATCAACCTCCATGCCAAATATGAAGACAGTGAGTCAAAAGTTTCTTAAGTTATTGGGCAGACAATTTTTTTGAAGTCAAAGTCCCTGTGACCTTGACCTTTGACCCAGTGACCTCAAAATCGATAGGGAGCATCTACTTATCATGACCAATCTAAATACCAAATATGAAAACTGTGGGTCAAAGGAATCTTCAGTTATTTGCGGACAAGCTTTTTGAAGTCAAGGCCCCTGTGACCTTGACCTTTGACCCAGTGACCTCAAAATCAATAGTGATCATCTTCTTATCATGACCAATCTAAATACCAAATATAAAGACTTTGGGTCAAAGGAATCTTAAGTTATTGGGCGGACAAGCTTTTTGTAGTCAAGGCCCCTGTGACCTTGACCTTTGACCCAGTGACCTCAAAATCAATAAGGATCATCTTCTAACCATGACCAATCTAAACACCAAATATGAGGACTGTGGGTCTAAAGAATCTTAAGTTATTGGGCAGACAAGGAAAAACCGACGGACGGCCGGACAGGGCGACGGCTGGACGGACAAGCTGATTCCAGTATACCCCCCTTACAACTTCGTTGTGCGGGGGTATAATAAAACTAATTAATAATCTGAAGAAAATCAGCTCCTAATTAACGCAACACATTAGGATCCGACGACCACCAATAGGTTGTGACCTTCTTGGTACCTTTCAAACAACTAATCATCGGCCAGCTTAAGTGATGCCATTTCTAATTTTAACTGCTGGAAAGCCAATACTGAGTAGGTTATTTTCACAATTTTGAGAACATGGTGTTGTCTGTATAGCTGTCTAATAAACTTGCAAAACAATCTTGCCCATTAAAAATTGAGTCTATCATTTCCAGTTCATTTGTTTCAAATTACTTCAAACATTTTTTCATAACAAAAAACAACAATTTGTTTTATTTTCACAAACAACATTTTTATACCACGTTTAATGCCTATCTGTAAAGGACGGTATTAATCACGTGGCTAAAAAAAACTTTTCCGGGAAAATACGAATCACAATGAAGGCAAAACAAACATGGTGGCAATCAGATCTACATGTAAGAAATAACATAAGTAGATCTGAACTTTAGTCAGATCAGAGTCTTTCAGATAGATATATAGAATATTTGAAAACTGGTCATACTGACAAAACACTTACCTCAAAATCAATCTTTCCCAGGTTTTGAACCAGTAGATACAGCATATTATTGTCATACATTTCATGGGCTAGCTGGGCCACCTGGTCTGTCTGAGGCTCCTGATTCTCTGTGCCGTACAGTACTGTCTTAATGGCCGCAAGGTTCTTAGACACATCATCACTGGCCTAATGATGGTATACAAAATAATACAAATACAGTTACCATGAGCCCTTACCAAGTTACCATTCTTAATTTTTTTCTATGATATTAATGGCTGCAAGGTTCTTAGACACATCATCACTGGCCTAATGATGGTATACAAAATAATACAAATACAGTTACCATGACCCTTACCAAGTTACCATTCTTAATTTTTTTCTATGATATTAATGGCTGCAAGGTTCTTAGACACATCATCACTGGCCTAATGATGGTATACAAAATAAAACAAATACAGTTACCATGAGTCCTTACCAAGCTTAATATCATAAAAAAGTTTTTTATGCACTTGTCCATCTTTCAATCTCGAAAAAAACATTGATCATTTTAGGGTAAAGTTCATAATTAGTACTGAATGAATATCAAAAGTGCAGACCATGATCAGACTGCACAAATTTCATTCAAATTCAAGACAATCTATCTATATAGACTAAATCCGGAATTAAGACTTTTTTGGTTTTCCCAGCTGACTACTCTATTCTTAATAGTAGTGCACCGTGAATATAATGGTAATAAAAGTTTGCAAAGTTCAAAACAGCAACTATTGTAATTGTCTTTGATCACTTAAAGTTGTTGTTTTTATAACAATTACGAGGCAGCTTTTTATAAGACCTTGTCTGTCGCTTCAAATCTGACAAGCTTAAACGGAATTAATACATATATAAACATTAGGGGGAAAAAAAGACAGTTTGGGTCAAGACTGATTTTACAATATATGCATTTGTCATTTTAGTACATCTATTAATGGAAATTTTATTTACCTTATCCAGTTTCTTCTCTCCAGTCTCTCGTGTTAGAGCAGTCAGGCCTTCCTTTAAGGACTTTACAAGCTCCTGTGGACTCTTCTGTGACTTTCCAAACAAAGGCATTCTCACAGAAAACAAGCCACCAACTCTGAAACAAATCTATTTCTGAAAAGAACAAAAAACAGATATTATATAAGTCAATGTCACATAAATAATTAGTAATGGTGTTATTGTTTCAGTAAATTACAAGCCATGTCCCAGCTCAGAAAGCAAACCAAAGCCAAGAACTGTCCAACACCAAGAATTTGTACTTACATTTTGGTGTCTGCAATCATTACTTTTTTTAGACTAAATGGAACATGGGATTTTATTGGTAGTCAGACTATTCTCTCCCTTACTAGTTCCTCTTTCAACAGTTCTCCCCCTATTTGGGGGGGGGACCATCTGCATGAATTTGTGCAATATTTGCAGGCTACTTGTCTCCAATTTTATTCTTTCAATAGATCAGTACACTTTTTGATGTTTATGAAATAGATAGGTAATTATTAATCTATATAAAATAAGGAGAAAAACTATCTTTTTAGCAGATTACTAAACATTATTTTATTGTACATTTCAATATATATAACTTACTTTGATATATAACTGTGTACCAAAACAGTTAATATTTTATGACATACCAGAGCATATATTTAACCTCTAGTTTACAATACAAGCTATTTAAACAAATGATTGGAGTTGACTGATTTATCAACAGACCATAATGATAATTGCAGGTGTTTATAAACAAGTCACCAATGAAGGTGTTGATAATTTGATTGGATTAAAATACCTGAAAAGGATGTTAAAAAGTACAGCAACTTTTCCTGACAGATGAACACGTCATTAATTTTAAAACATTTTTAAGTAGGATTTTCAGGAATATTCTTGTAACAAAATGTCTTAATATCAATCAAATTCATTGAAATATTAAGTCTTCATTAAGAAATCTATGATGATAAAATCTACACAATATTTCCAACATTTCTCATAGTAAACAATGATATGTCAGTGTTTTTTCTCTACTTTGGGAATTGTGCCGGAACCAGACTGATTGGAAAAAAAATGTGTTGTTTTGACTTAAATTGGGAATTTTTATTATGCATTTTCATCTACAAATAAGATTAATCATCATGAATAAAGACAGCTAACAGCTTCTATTGCCCAGGTAGAACCATTGAGTGATGACAATTGACTGATGATTTATATGAATATATGTTTGAATTAAATGATTTCAGAGAAATCTCTTGGCCTTGTGGGAATTTTGAACAGCCATTTTGGGAATTTCAACACTGGAAATTGGGAATTTTAATGTCTATTTTCAAATGGGAACAGTGCCGTTTTAGGGTAGTAGTTATATAAAGAAACTAGAAATGTGTCATCATGCCACGGATGCCCCCGCATGCAGTCAAAATTTCAGATGTTATAATATTTAGTTCCAAATTTGTTTGTACAAATTATTTTTTTCATTTTAAGTTCAAAGCCCTTAAAACTTTTCAATGTTAACACAAACCATTTTCATACAATGTTCAAGGCACTGAAATTATTCAGTCTATAGCATATTTCATAATGGCTACATACATTTCCACAAAAGTATTGGTGCTGAAACTGAAAGTTCAAAATTTTTCCAACATTCAAGAAAGATATGTTTGTCCAAAATCATTGAACCACGACCAAATTCAAACTTAAACTGCTTATTCCTAAGATGTATCTATATTATTTTCAAAGTGAAAGGGACATAACTCTGCCAAAAAAAATCATCAAACCATGACCAAATTCCAACTTGACCTGCCCATTCCTTTGACATATCCATATGTCAAATTTGAGTTGAATATAATGTAACACTGTTGGGTAGATAATGAACAGAAACTGTAAATTTCATATTATTTTCAAAGTGAAAGGGGCATTACTCTGCCAAAAATCATTGAACCATGACCAAATTCGAATTTGGCCTGGGCATTCCAAAAACATATCCATATGTCAAATTTGAGTTGAATGTGTTGTACCGTTGGGGAGATAATAAACAGAAACTGAAAATTTCATATTATTTTCAAAGTGAAAGGGGCATAACTCTGCCAAAAATCATTGAACCATGACCAAATTTGAACTTGACCTGGGCATTCCAAAAACATATCCATATGTCAAGTTTCAGTTGAATGTGTTGTACTGTAGGGGAGATAATGAACGGAAACTGAAAATTTCATATTATTTTCAAAGTGAAAGGGGCATAACTCTGCCAAAAATCATCGAACCATGACCAAATTCAAACTGGGCCTGTATTTTCTCACGACATATCCATATGTCAAATTTGAGTTGAATGTGTTGTACAGTTTGGGAGATAATGAACGGAAACTGAAAATTTCATATTATTTTCAAAGTAAAAGGGGCATAACTCTGCCAAAAATCATCGAACCATGACCTAATTCGAACTTGACCTGTATTTTCTCATGACATAACCATATGTCAAGTTTGAGTTGAATGTGTTGTACCGTTGGGGAGATAATGAACGGAAACTGAAAATTTCATATTATTTTAAAGTAAAAGGGGCATAACTCTGCCAAAAATCATCGAACCATGACCAAATTCGAACTTGATCTTTATTTTGTTATGACATATCCATATGTCAAATTTGAGTTGAATGTGTGCAACCGTTACTAAGATAATGAACAGAAACTGATGATGACGGAATGACAGAATGACGGAATAGGGTAACACTATATGCCCAGGCCATTACATGGCGGGGCATAAAAAAACACTGTACGTTCAATAAAACTCCTTTATAAGACACAGGTGCTAGTTGCATTGATTTGACCTAAAATGTGTTTGACCTTGTTATTTATTCAATAAAATATCAATATATTAAAAAAAAAAAAAAAAAAAAATTTCACTGTTATATTATTATAGACAAGGTATGCAACATTCAATTACGAAAATTATGGGTACGCCGGTTATCTGTGTTAAAATTTTTCACCGGGCGGTAATATCGTCGGATTTTTGCATGGAATCAATGCACAATATATTTTTCTATTACAATTTACTATTTACAGATCCCCAATTAACCACTAGTTAATGTTTTAAAGCCCGAAAGTAAGAAATCACCCAGGTCCGAAAGATGAGACCGTCATGACATGTATATTGTAAGCTGGTATTTACGCTTGAAATACATCAACAAAGAGATCAAACGGGTCGAACTCACATGCAAACAACTGGATTTTACATACTTTTAAATGGTTTTATCCTCCACGAGTCAAACTTAGTCCTATGAGCCTGTATTTAAAGAAATATCCTACATGTAGACGATATTTTTAGAAGGTAATTCCCACCGGAAGTATTCTCCGGCTTCCGTTTTACATACATTGACAAAGAGCGGAACAGGGAACCAAGCACGTGTTGCGGAGAACACTTCCGATTTAGGAATTACCTTATACATGTAGAATTTTTCTTAAAATACGGGCACATAGGACTTAGTGCCACTCGTGGAGGATAAAACCATTTAAAAGTATGTAAAATCCAGTTGTTTGCATGTGAGTTCGACCCGTTTGATCTCTTTGTTGATGTTTTTCAAGCGTAAATACCAGCTTACAATGTACATGTCATGACGGTCTCATCTTTCGGACCTGGGTGATTTCTTACTTTCGGGCTTTAAAACATTAACTAGTGGTTAATTGGGAATCTGTAAATAGTAAATTGTAATAGAAAAATATATTGTGCATTGATTCCATGCAAAAATCCGACGATATTACCGCCCGGTGAAAAATTTTAACACAGATAACCGGCGTACCCATAATTTTCGTACCTGAATGTTGCATACCTTGTCTATAATAATATAACAGTGAAAAAAAATTATTTTTTTTTTTTTTTTTTTTTAATATATTGATTTTTTTTTGTATAAATAAAAAGGTCAAACAAATTTTAGTTCAAATCAATGCAACTAGCACCTGTGTTATAAGATATGAAAATAAACTGTTTGAACATTTCAGATTTGGGGCAGAACTGTCAGGTGATGAAACGGTTTGAAAGAGAACCATCAGGGGGTGGAACTGGTATTCTGGTAAGGGGCAGAATAGTCTGATGTCATTCTATTTAATTTGTATACCCCATTTGTGTCCAGATGTTAAAAGATTTTTATGGACCGTTTACAGGGGTGGTTCAAGCCGCGAATAAGGTATAACCACCATATTTCTGAGATCACTGACATATAAATATTTCAAGAGTTAAGCTCCTCATGTTGGAATAAAATGAATAAATTTATGTGACAAAACTGTTACAAATTCGGTGAAAGCATAACAATTCAAATTTCTTCAGACATTCTTTTGTGGTAAAAGAAAATTTCTCAAATTTTCCATGCATCGCGTCGATGAATAATTAACAGGTTTTTTTTTTAAAAAAAGTGGGCTGGGTCACAAATAATTTTATCATTGGGGAAAACAAACTGACCACAGTTGAAAAAAGTTGAGCCAAACCAAATATTTAGCAGGATATACGTAAATTCCACGTACAAATTGATGGACAAGACACTTGGGTCTTTAAACTGTGTCCTATTCGACAAGTCCTCCCATGAATCGTAAATAATAGAGCAAAAACGAATCTTAACAGTTGACCGATTTTCTTCTTTTTTTTCACCGGAAGTGACGATTGGTACAGTTGAAAATTAATCGAATACACTACAAACATTATTGTTGTCGCACCAGAATTTGTTTTTGTCGTTGTGGGATATTTAATTATAGCTCTGAGGTGGGACATATTTAATTGTTAGAAATTAGAACAAATACCGAATTCCATTTCCATTCTTTTGCATACGTTTTATGTATAACAAATTATAGTCTTTGAAAAACTAATGTTAAACGTATGTCGTTTCGACGTATATGTAACCTAGTTAGCAGAACCTAGTTAGCTCCCTTTACTTATGAATGACAACCAATGACTAAAATTAATTGGACTTATTATATTTTAAAATTAATTAGCACGCTAAATTATTGTAATATAGAAGTGGCATTCTTTGAATTTGGACTCATTTTGTTTTCTTAATGACGATCACTATACATCAAAATGCAAAATGAAGCAGTTAAAAGATATTCTAGTGTTATATACTTAATTAAGCTGTCGAATAGCAGCCTAGAGGTTAAGGCGTTTCCACCTCATCCCAGGGATTGTAGGTCCGAGTCCTGTTGAGGTCGCGAACATGTGTTATCATATGATATCAGTGTTTACTGGTTATAATGGATTAGCTAAAAGAAGTCAGCAGCATGCTTAAGTTAAATACACAGAGCTATATGTTTTATAAGTGGCTGGATAAATAATTAAGAATGACAGAACTAAGTTGTCCAGTGTACCGCTAAATCATGCTCCAACTCTATCAAAATGTAACGGTAGTGGTGGTGTTGGTAGTTTTCACTCCGGATCACGACCCAGTAAGCCACATAGAATTTACCAGAGCACAGCTCAGCCACGTATATAGTACATACCATAGTATTTAAAGATACAGAGCAAATAAAAATATTTCATGACCAATCTTAACGAAAGTGACCTGCACCATCGCTGATTAGAACCCGGGTCTACCGATTCACAGTCCAACACTACCTTCTGCAATGTTCTGAGCTAACCGGACGGTTTTCGTATTACTTACAAATCGTAATGTTCGGCCCTTTCCGTTACTCTCCGGATAAGCAGAAGATATTTTTTTATGTATTTTAGAATGAATAACCAAAACGGATAAACTACGCTAAAGCTAGTTAACAATTAGTATTTTAATTAAATGCTGGATATGTTGACTTTAATTCATGTTGCACCGTTTAAAAATCCACCTAAATTAAGTAAATATTTTAAAAAGGTACATTTTTGCCGGCTCGCCACGGCGAGCCGGTATTACGGTAGGATTTTACTGAGAAACAACCTAAAACTCCGAAGCCATCCAAAAATTTAATCGACGCTTGGCTTCCAGCTTTATACAAAATTTATCTATCAGGGCTAGGATCCAAAATTATTTAGCCAATCAAATTTAATCTTACATAGCGTCAAAAAACCTTCAATTTTCACGCCATTTTTAAAAATCAGCAAGTATTGTTTTGAGCGCAAAGATATAATGATGATTAAAATGTTTGTCTTTATGAATTCTTTTCAATAAATCATATTTACACTGACTTCTGATTTAGCGATTTCACCTGTTTTCTCTGTAGTAAGTTTTCGTTTGGTTAATTAACATAAGTGTACATCTGGTTCTGTGCATTTTTTATTTTTCCCTTTTTCCGGTCATTTTATCCTTTCCGGTATTGCGTGTATGTATTTACTGGCCGGGATCCGGGACGCCCGGGATCCGGGATCGTATAAGATATGGAGGAAAAAACCTAATGAACTATATTTGTGTTGATTGTTGTCGTAATGAAAGGCCATTAAACGTTAATTTTTTTTTATTGTATATAATGAACGTTAAATTAATTTAACTTAGAATATAGATATATTTAGAGCTATTTATTTACAAACTTAAAATGCGGAAATTCACAATACTTATAATTATATGCCTAATTAATTGGAAAAATCAAAGACTATTTTCTTGAATTGGTCAAATCCCGGGATCCCTATATGTTTTAAAACGATCCCAGCTTTTCTGAAAACTATATACTTGAACTGGCCAATCCGTGAGATCTATTTACATTTTAATACGATCCCGGCTTTTCTGAAAACTATATTCTTGAACTGGTCAATTCCCGGGATCCCTATATGTTTTAATAGGATCCCGGCTTATCTGAAAAACATCTTCTTTAGACTGGTCAATTTCCGGGATCCCTATATTTTTTTAATAGGATCCCGGCTTTTCTGGCTGAATTGATTGACAACTTGTGTGTTTACTTTAGGACTTGTGCCTCTCATTCCAATACTAAATAGCATACATGTATTACAACTTAATTTTGTATAAAGAGACATCTTTATGAAATCTACCTATCTAACATTTTGTGGTCAAGGTCAACAGGCCATATAGTAAATGTGCATAGACATAGGGTCTTCATTCTATCTGTTTACATGCACCTTCATATATACTCATACTCATCTTGGTTAAACTGAGAGAACTTTATGTGTCACTTTCAGTCAATGAGTTTAAGATTTTGAATTTACTGGCCCGAATTCCAGTTTTGAATTTATTCTACTAAATAATTAACAAAATTTTCTTAAATTTACACTGGCCTGAACTTATATACACTGGCCATCGGGCACCGGGCCAGTGTTGACTTCACTTTTGTTTTGATGTTCGCTGAAGTCTCTTCAGCTAACAGAACTGTCATTTTTACATTTAAACACACCCCTTGAAAAAAATTACGAAGCGAGTCGCTACTAGCTTTTTTAAAAGCTAACCTTGTATATACTTTAATATATTTCCATTGTAGAAACCGGAAGTATATAATATCTATACCCGTTGACAATAATTCGGATTTGTTTATAATTGTACGTCAATTTGCGTTTTTAATTGACTCTGATAATTGTCAGATAATATTTTCACCATCGATACCACTGCATTTTGTACTGTATTTCGAAAACATTTATACAATAGACCTGGGTATAATATCGTATATATATTTATTATATACTTTTAAATGAAATATTGAGAAATATAATGGAATGAAATGTGTTTTTTTTCCTCATTTTCCGTATTTTCACTGTAAAAATTTATTTTTCACTGCAGTGAAGCACATTTTTCGTAATTCCACTGGTGTCTTGCCGGACTATACTTTTTTCTATACTTTTTTCTAAATTCAGCCAATATACAAAATTCTTTCCAATCAAAGGTTCAAAAGGAGAAAAAGGTATACAATAAACAGAAAATTTAAGTTTTCCAATCAATACATTATTTATTTTCATCTTGTGGTATGAAAATTATCGCATTTCGCTCGTGGCTACTGCCACTCGTGAAATACTATTTTCATACCACCTATGGAAATAAATCCTGTATTTTATAGAAAGAAACCTGAGTATCCTCTATATATCATGTGCGTGCGTGCGTACGGATCAACCATATGGGCCAGAGCATCTGCTCACTTGCTGTTCCGACCGTCTGCGGCGTAATGTCAAGCAGAATGTTTCCTCTAGCCTGTTCTTCATGCGATGGTGGCCAGGAGATAACATTACTTCCCTGGCATCATTGTTTTTCTAACAAAACGACTCTTGTTATCGCCACCCTCCTGAGTAAGTCACGACAGGTCAACCAGTCATCCCTGGTATAAGTTCTTTGGATGACTTGACCTTGACCTGCCTTGTGACTGTTCCGCGAAGTGCACTCCTCGGGAAGGATTTGAGAAGTATACATCTTGTGCCAGAATGGGTCGACTTGCATGCATATTTAGTATTATTTAGTGAATTTTAGGTCACATTTCGGTAGATAATAACCTTTGAGGACATGAATGTTGACATGTCTGGGATCCGTACACTCAGTGCCTGAAAGGACGGATTGACCCTAATTAAGACTATAGAATGCATATACACAGTTTTAAGTGTTCCGGTTGATTTATGTAAGATTTTCAAATTCAACCTTTTTAAGTTCTTGGGCCACAGAGGAGCTGAGATTTGGTCAGTATTTGATTTTTGAAAAAGGTATCCTTATATTGTCCCCTTATATTTAAGAAAAACAGCAAATAAAAAACAAAAACATTTTAACAAAAAAAAAACAACAACAACAAAAAAAAACATGCATTATTATTTTCAAATTTTCTATGTTTTTGCGATATCCATTTGCCTAATTTAATACTTCTGACCTCGTTACTAAAA